TTGATGTGTCTCTGGGCTGGCTCTGTGTTAACCGCTAATTAACTGCTGACACTGAGGAGAGGGAAAGGCAGAGTCCGTGAACTTGCACAAAGGCTAAAAGGCTTTGGATGAACGATGATTAAAACCGGGTTGAATTGTGGCCGAGTTGCGCTTTTTATTGCCAACATTTTGTTAGGGATCCATTTGAAAGCTTTGTGAAAACGGCTAATTTTAGAGTGCAAAATATAAAACAACATTAAAAAATATGCGCAAATTGAGTTTTTAAGATTTCAATGCCACTCAATAGCATGAGTACCATCATCTAATGATTAAAAATGTGTATTCATTGAAGATTACATAAGATACTATATTTTGACCATGTTACAGTCAAGGTTGTTGCAATTCATGCATGTTGGAATCATTTATTTGATCTTGCACCCAATTTGTTCATACACAAAAAAAATAACTGAATCTTTGGTGTGGATAATTAGGCAGTGTTAGAGAGGTGTTGTACTTGAAGAAATAAACTTGCCATTTGAATAGGTGAGCTCAACCATGGTACAGCAGGACTGATGGTACAGCTACTGCTTCTTTCATAATTGAGATTCTCATTTTACCAAATATCCAATAATGGGCCCTGGGTTTCCTAGATCATCACTATAGTTTATTAGCAGGCAGAGTCATGTGATGTTTTCTGATATAAGGCAAAATATCCATAGTGAATTGGTTGAAACAAAATCGCCATCATTTATCAAACAAATTCAGGCAAAAAGCACAGACAGCAAGAGGAGTAACCTGAACTAAATGCCTTCTGAAAGCCCTTGTTCCAAATCTCAGATGCGCAGACACTGGCTCCTTGTTCTCCACACACAGAGTTTCAATTACATGCAGTTTGCCCTTGGTTGGACTATTTCAATATTTTATGTTGATACATTACCACCGCAGCACGCCTTCATTCATTCTCATTCAGGAGTGGGAGGTTTGAGCGAAAATAGACTCTTTATCAGGCCGCGCTTGGTGTTACATTATTGTGTCTGTCTGATGGAGGATAGATCATAGAAAAGACAGAATGCCTAATACATAAATGAGAAATGCACAATTACTTTTCACATGGATTCCTGAGCTTGCTGTTGCGTGGCTTGGGTGATATCACTGACATGCCTTGTGAATGTCAGCATGTAATTGGTTCAGCTAAATGTGCGCAGATATAGTGCGGCTGTGGTTTTGGTGATTTTCAATAATCTATGGGTTGTGACAGCAAGAGGGAAAATGTATAATCTAATGTGAGACAAAGAAGAAGCACGTAATGAGACAGCAGTTTGACGAAGCCGAAGAGAAAGAAATGAAAATGCTGTGTTTGTCACTTGGGACAGAAAAAAGTGACAATTAGCAAGAGTCAATCTGAAGGACAGCTGATGCTTTATGGAGATTAAGAGTAAGACAATAGACAAGAAATAACTACTGACATGTTGAATTAGGGAGCAGGCTATGTAGACAAGCAGAACAATTATTTTGTCTATTTACATAATGTGCTACAAGAGGGACATATGTCCAACTGTAGGAATTAATGGTGTGGAACAATTACATTGTTTTATCACAATTCATCACATGATTAATTGTGATTAATTGCAAATGTCAAAAACATGGACATTTTATAGATCAGTGTCTCCCAAAATTGGGGTCCGCGGCCCCCTGGGACCAGGGTATTGCAGGGGGGCCACGGGAGGTTATCAAAAAAAATTATTGTTTAATTTTTTGTTTGTAATATTAAATTTTGTGTTCATTATTTGACTTGAATAATCAAATTGTAATCATTTTTGTAATACAAAATGGGGTGCGTCATTTGAATGTTTGTAGCAGAGGCTATTTCCCCCAAACAAAATAACGAGAAGAGCCTATTTCTAACGTTGTCTTCTTGGTTATTATTTCGGACGGCCGCACAGACCCATCAGATTTTTAAGGGGGCTGACTTTGGGAATGGCTGTTATAGATGTGCTCATGCATCTACTGTAGTTTGGTAAAATGTGTATTACCGTCTGTTTGTCTGTGCACGAGGGATGACGCCACGGATTATTTCAACAATATAGCGATTATGATGTTTTTGCTTTTTACTAGTGATGGCAATATGAAGCCCCATGAAGCCTTGAGGGATCGCAGCCTATTACTCGGCCCATGAGTCGAAGGCTCAAGGTGAATCATGCTCCACTACGCCATCATGTGGACAAAGAAATACATAACACTCTTAAGAGCTTACAACGAATGGTGAGATCTAATGTTAAAATGTATATTTACAATCTATGGTCTAACGTGTTGTGTTTGAAATGATGCTTCATGAACTATGAACTATTTGAGTCTTTCAGTCAATTGTGTTGATACAACAAACACATCCAAAGTAATACAGTTCTACAGAAAGTGATTAATGGAGGAAAAACTACCAAGAGGTGGATTAATTCAACACAACAAACCATTTATTCCCAATAAATAAATACATTTACTTTGCAACACAAAATTTATTATGGGTAGACCAGGATTCGAACGCTATATCTTCTGCTTCGGAGTCCGTCATAGACCGACTGCGCCACACAGCTGTTGTTAAATGTATTATCCAGCGTATTATTACTAGTAACTTGATATATGAGGTTTTACTAAAGTGAAAAGTTTTTAATTGTATTTCATATGAAGTAGTTTCTCTATACTTAGTACAGGACTGCTCCACATCACTCACACACACACGTACGCACACAGAGGCAGACGGGGACAGCCGCGGATCACAAAGCACCTGTCAAAGCAATGCACTCTCCGAACTATATGAAGCACTATATGAACCGTCACGTGGTGCGGCCGCTACGCGAGGCTTCGAACGTCACCAACACACGTGACCAATACACGCCTCGACCCACGCTTCACAAGAAACGCCCCCAGATTACTCGGTCCACGCTTCGAAGACTCGGTCCGCTCAGCACATCACTACAGCACATAACTACTGGTTTCTAATGCAATTTAATAATTTGTCAGGGCTGGATTACCTAGTTGAGGGTTGATGAAGACTTAAGTTTTAGTGTAGTACTTCAGATTACATAAACCAAACTATGTCAGAAATAATTTATTTTATTTATGGGTTTATTTAGTCAGGACAGTGCATGTTAATGAACATACATGGGCCTCATGCATGTAAACACCACACCGGATTATAGCCTTGGGATAATTTGCATCCGTTGTCCCCCATGCGTACTCTCATTCATCCTGGCCTATTGTACATGTTTTTAGTGGTAGGGGAAACCAGAGTACCCGGAGGAAACCTACAGACACAGGGAGAACATGCAAACTCCATACAGAAAGGCCCCGTCCAGGTGGGAATCGAACCCGGACCCGTCATATAATAATATGTACATATTTGATTGTACTATTCTGGCATTCAGTATGGTACGTGATACACATTAGAGGGAATGGTCATTTCAAAATGTTTAATTGGAAGATGCAAACATTAAAATGTCTGTTTTGAAATATGAGCAGTGTGTAGCATGGGAAAAACAACATTATATATATACCACCTTTTTCACGATAACCGGAAGTGCCGCCTCGCAGCGCTGAGTCACTTCCGGTTTGCACCGTTTGTATACAAAATGGCTCTAATATTTTCACCAACACTACTCTGTTTGCCAGCTTTTTCATTCGCTGCTGCGGAAGCAATTGCAGCAGCGAATTCAAATTCAGATAAACGGGATAAGGGGTATAAATTCTTTCATGAAGAATATTTACACGAGTATCAAGGTGATGGTGCGTTCAGACCAAACGCGATTTCTGCGGCCAAAGCGGCGGGTCTACATTGACACAACATGGGGGACGCGCGCCAAGGAGCGGCGAGAGATCACGCGGCGCGAATTCGAGCATTTTGCGCGGCGAGTTTTGAGATGTTAGGCCTGTTTCACACCGCACACGAATTCGTGAACGAATTCGTCTTCGAAACCCGCTCGCGTGCATTCGCAAGCTGCGCTTCAAGTCGCGTCCTGTTGTGCAAATGAGAAAGCTCTTCTGTGTACAGACCGGCGCTGAGGCGGCGCGCAGGGAATCGGCGCGCGCCGCTGCCGCCTCCGCTCCTGAAACCAAAAATGGAACTCGAGCGCATTTTTTCCGCGTGTAGGCTGCGCAGCGAAGCGGCTTTCAGCACGAAAACATTCAAAAAATAACTTTTATAAAGCAATTTCACGTTTATCTAATCTCATTATTGTAATGCATAAGTACATATAAGTTTATTCTTTTAATTACACAATTTTCCATGTTTTTTTATGCATAAAATATAATTGTAACAATATATATTATATATATATATATATATATATATATATATATATATATATATATATATATATATATATATATACATATATATATATATACATTATATATATATATATATATATATATATATATATATATATATATATATTATATATATATATATATATATATATATGTTAGGATTCAGCAGACAGAGACGGATCGTGGTGTGCCAAACTCTGGAAGTTTATTTAAGTTTCTCTCAAGTTCCACTGGTTTACTCTGTTTCTTTCTCCCAGACAGAATAAAGGCAGTACACAGTTTATATAGTCATTGTCACGTCACACATCGAAAGACATACGTGTCACAAAGAGACAGTCACATCATAGTCATAACATGGAGTCCTTGTACAGTCCTGCACGTAGGCCATATTGCTATCTAATACTAATATATATATTATAATTATAACCTAACCTTAACCCACATGGAGATCCAGGCCGCCCCCACACCTTATAATTAACTATGATAATGAAACGACAATCAAAATAGGCTATAAGATACATTATAAGGAAATGTTAGCAATTTATTTAAGGTCTACATGTGCTATTTTGATTTCTGACCTGTTATTTCAGACAACATATGTAAATATACAACATGTTTATTAGTTTGGAGTACAATACTACTCCTTTTGTGCGTGCTACTCGTCTAGGCGCTTCGCCCACGCTCGGCGTCAGTCTGAATACATGCGCTCGCCGCGAGGTAGTTCGGCTGGAAAGGGCGCTCTGCTCTGCGCTCGGCGTGCGGTGTGAAACAGGCCTCAAGCGTTTTGCGCTTCCAACGCGGCCGCCGCTAAAGTTGAACAATGTTGAACTTTTTGGGAGAATTCGCGTGTGCCGACCAATCAGGAGCTTTCTCCTACAGTGACGTAGTGACGCATTTCACTACCGGGAAAACACTGGTAGATGACAGCTATGGAGGACACGTTAATTCGGGCGTTCTGCTCTCCCAAAATTTCATCCACTGAGCGGCGCTGTGATCAAAAAATGACACCGTTTGTTGCCCAGTTCACTTCCGGTTGATTTCATACAATGGCGAATATGGCTCACGAAAACAACAAACGATTGACAGTGCCTGAATTGTGTGAAAGGTTGAAGCGAAAGGGTATTTGCAGTGTGGGAAAACGAAAGGAGGAATTGTTGTTGCTAGTTCAACGAGCGGATGGTGTTTATGAAGATTTAGAAGAAGATGACAGCGAGCAGAGTGAACGAAAACGGCTGTGTGTGCGAGTGACAGATGGTAACAATGAGAATGAAGTTCAGCTAAGAGGGAAGAATGTGAATTGGACGGATGATTTGCGCGATATGCCACTAGTTAGAGACGGGAATGTATTTGCATACAGAAAATGACGAAAACACTCAACCATTTAGAGAAAATGCGCCGGGCAGAGAGAACCGGAAGTTGCGAAGGCAAGTGTTACCCATAATGCAACGCAAAATTCAGTCGCTCCCCCGCCCATCGGATGGAATTTTGGGAGAGCAGAACGCCCGAATTGCTCAGGTCGGTGCTCATTCTGAGCTATATAACACTGCGGACCACAGCTACCGGGACCAAAATAAAAAGGAGCTTGCTTGGAGGAGGGTTAGCGAGGTGGTTGGTGTCTCGGGTAAGTTATTTTAACTTTTCACAGTTGTAAATATTTCCCCGCGAAAAAACTACTACTTTCCTGCTTACGAGTTGATGTGTTTATTCAGTGGAAGTTTGCAAAAAGCGGTGGAAGAATCTGAGGGACACATATGCTAAGGAGAGCAGGAAGGAGAAGGACAAGGTGAAGAAGAGTGGTGCAGAAGCAGGGAAAGGCCAGACGTGGAAGTACCTTGTGGTCATGTCCTTCCTCGAGCCCTACATCACTCCCCGTGACAGCTCCGGGAACATGCCAAGGCGAAGGGCCGAGGAGGAGCAGACCACAGGGTACAACCACCCAGAAGAAGAGCCAGAGGAAGCAGCAGCAGCAGGGCTGTCAGGTGCTGAAGGTCGGTGTCATGCAGCAAACAGAGACCTTGAACAGTTGGAAAAAATACATTTCTTTCCTTTCTATTACCCACATTTTGCTGACTTTTACATTTATATTGCTTTCTGTGTATGCATTTCTTTTAACATAATATGTACATAATAATGTACATTAATAATGTACATTATTATGTACATATAAATGTCATAAGCGCAATGTACACATGATATGAAATAATTGTATTTCTTGTTTTCTTCTGGCGCAGATACTGCCACCACCAGACTTATCAACTTCACGCTACGCTAGCTACGACACTTGAAGCACATAAATATGTAATACAGACGCCTAATTTGTGTGCTAATTTATTCGAAATTTGAATGGAGACATGGTATAGAATTTCCAATTATATTAGAACATTATGATATGTGTTTTTCATGTCTTATTTATGAAAGCAAACATGCTAAATGTTAGTTTTTACATGATGATGCTAGATGTACCTTAACCATTAAATTGTGCTTTGTTTCTGCATACTTATAGTATCAAATATTGTCGAGGGAAAGGTAGTGGTCAGAGCTAAATGCTTCAGGTCCATGAGGAGAAATGAGGAGCCGCACAGACTGCAGGTTTGAAAGTCAGAAAGCCGGTTGGCTTGTTCAGCTTTGAGTTCTTGAGTCGCTGACAGATGACAGCTGAAGAACGTTCACATAGGATGGACAGTTCCAGTAAAACTGAGAGCCTATACTCGCATCTTTCTGTTTGGTGGTTACCATTTCTCTTCTGCTGCTGTTGCAGCATAGGCTTTTCTATGTACTGCTGCTGTTGCAGCATAGGCTTTTCTATGTACTGCTGCTGTTGCAGCAAATCTAAACTACAATCTCTGTCTTTATAAGATAAGTTATAACAAGTAATAACTATGTCCGTTCTAAAACTACTTCTCTGCTTTAGATCTCACTGGGTGCTGAAAAGGCTGAGCTGTTGGCTCATTCTTGTAGTTGTGCAGCAGGTAAAGGTTTTTGCAACCATGTAGTTGCACTTTATCAGACTGCACACTACTCCCAGCTCCAGCTACCAGCTGTTCCTCCTGCCCTGGCATGTACGAGTGATCTACAAAGATGGCACAGACCAAGAACACAGGTAAATAAATAAAAAAGTAATTTGCTCAACTCTTTTCTATTGCATAATCATTTGGTATGCAATTTTCTTAACTACTTTAAGAAGACTATATAGATATATATATAAATGCCCTGTTAACAAAATCTATTTTTCATTTTTTATTTCTTGTAAGGGGATCCACCCTGAACCCGCCAGCAAAGTCATAGTGCGAAAGCCCAAAACTGTGGGGAAACGATGTCTGCAGTCTACACTCTACAGAGCTTTCCCAGGTATAATTTATTGAGTGTCAATGTTTTCATAATCTGTCTGTAAATTATATATACATATATTATTTAATAAATATATATAATATATATATATATAAATAAATAAATCTGGAATGTTTCCTTTGTCATAAGTTATTGAGATTTGTCACTCATGTGTTTGTAGGACCACTTCCTGACCCCGACATCATCGCATCGGGAGAGAAATTACGCCAGCTGGAGTCCCCGCCACTCATAGCTCTTGTTTTAGAAGGTCTCTCAACTTTGGAGCTGGTTCCGTCCAAATTTGGGCCTGTGCCTCGAGGCTCACCATTGTCTTACCAGTGCCCACCTGAGAAGTCCTGCGACGTCATCATTATACACCACACAGCTCCAGACTTCCCTGCTCTTCCTTTGATGTTTCACAGTCTTACAAACATGAGTTTTGTGCCTACTCTTGGTCAACTAAGGCATCTTCAGTCTCTGCAACTGTCACTGGATACGTCTTCAAAAATAGAGGCTGCAACCAGGGAGCAGTCCAGATGTCCTGCATGGGTACAGCTTCGCCAGCCAAGGCTTACAGCTAGCCGTTTCCGGGATGCTTGTAAAGGAAGTGCTGAGGAGGAGTCTGTAGCCACAGTACATGCAGCTAGGATGATCAGGGGGTTCACAAAACAAACAGCTGCAATGAAGCGCGGTCTGCAGATGGAGCTCGAGGTGCTGACGAACTATGCTGAGCTGATGAGTGTTAATGTACTCCCTGTGGGATTTATCATTCACCCCGAGGCACCACATCTTGGGGCAAGTCCTGATGGCAGGGTGTATGACCCATCAGAATCACCCCCGTTTGGACTGGTAGAGGTTAAATGTAGTACCAAAAATGATGTGTCCCAGGTGGCTCACCTTAAGGTTCAGGATGGCTCTGCAAATGTGAGGCGCTCACATGCGTACTACTGGCAAGTACAGGGCTGGAATGGTGCGACTTTGTCACAGACACACTGACAACTATAACAGTAGAGCGAGTGTGGCGGGATGAATCTTTAATTGACCAGATGAAGTCAAAATTGGACATGTTTTACTTTACCACCTTTATGAATGTGTTTATGTCAATACAGTAACTAATGATTCACAAATCCCCTTTTTTGTTCATTCCCTTTTTTTTGATCATTGTAAATATCTGTCACAAAAATTGAATATATGCATAGCAAAACAAAACATGAAATTGGCCTAGTCTTAATGACCTGTGCCTGCAGCTGAAAGGAAGTTGATGAGGTATAAGTTTTCCAAAACTAGACTAATGTGCTTATTTTATTTCCTGTATGATTTATTAAAAAATATTTCCAGCCTTGTTTTGTTACAAATGAAATTATTTGAGAATTACATATTTCATTTTCAACATAAACCACTATCATTTGCTATTTGTTTCACCTGTTTTCCCTTGCAATTCAACACAATCAAGCCACAATAACAACAAAAAATACTGAATTCTGCCCAAGTGTGTTTTAAAATGGGGAATAAACATCTCAAAAAATATGTACACTGAAACAGACACATAGAAGATTTAGATGAAACCTTTATTCTTCCAAACAAAATGGGCCTTGATAATTAGCCAAAACACAACAGTTGTGCCAGATCTGATTGACGGTTCCTATTAAAGTGAGTGGCACAGGAGAATCCCAGATGTGGTAGTGCTTGATTCTGGCTATTGCCTGTTCGACAATAATTCTCAGACGAGCAATGGCTTGGGTCTCCTCAGTCTCTCTCTTGCTAAACTGACCAGGATGTCGAAAAGGTGGCATTGTGAGTTTGGCCCCAACTTCATCAAGGAGGTCTTGAATGAGGAAGCCCTTATCTGCCATGACTTCATCTCCTGGCTCCAGCAGCGGAAGAATTCCACTGATTTTAGTGATCTCTTTGTCGGAGATGCAGCCAGTGTACAGCTGTGATATAAACGTCACCAACCCATTGGGAGCAACTCTGATCAGCCCTTTCAGAGTGGTGCGGTTCTTGTACGCAGAGAAGGTTTCAGACTGTAAAGTTAGTGATGATGCCCCCTCTAAAGCAACTTCTGTGCAGTCCAGGATGACACGCACATTTGGAGAGCGCTTCACAAATCTTTGAGGCATGCTGGCTTTCACCTTCTCCCGACTAATCCACATGTTAATTGACGAGAACACAATGAAAAGGTAGTTGGCCCATGTGATGGTCACTCGGCTGACAGTAGAAATGCTCACTTTAAACATGTCAGCAATGAGCTGCTCCTTCATTCCCACTGCAACCCTGAATGAGTACATTAAAAACTCATCAATTAGAGGCATGCAGCGTACAGGGCTTGGTTCAGCAACTTCTTTATCTCCAATTTTCTGAGCTCTGGTCCAGTACACTAGACGGGATGCAGATGGTGCAATGGACTCCCAGAAGATCCTGAACACACTCTTAGATGGGAATTTTGTGTAAAACCGGATCTGGTCATCAGAAAAGCAATAACTACTAAAAAGTGTGCTGGGAGACAAATCCATCTTCTCCAGCCTGGCTTCCAACTCCTTGATTGTCTCAAGGGCTTTATCAAGCGCACCTGTAAAACCAGAAAAAAGTGCTATAAATACCTTAAAAAGGTCTAACCATAATGTAATATATATATAATTATATATACAATTACACAGACAGTCCTAAATATTGTATTTTATTTACACTGCTTTAATTTTGTTCCACAAACATGTGATGACACTGAGCATTTATTGTTTCATAGTTATAATATTGACTCAAATATGCTAGAATAAAATTTTTACATAACTGATATAATTAGATATTTACCTGGGGGTGGATGTGCCGCATAATCATGTTCGGCAGTGGCAGCTTCAGCCTGGCTAACTTGCTCTGAAAGGACAAGCTGACGTTTCTGAGCCTTCTGGAATGCTGACTCCCTCTTAGGTGGTGCAATAAAATTATTCCAGGGGAATAGAGATGGAACAGCTCCACTTTTAAGGCGGCTGACGGTTGATCCAGTGAGATAATCCTCCGGTGTGAAGTGCCGGCTGCATACAAAAGTGCTCCCTGTCTTTATGGTGAACAGGGGACCCTCGTCTCTCCTAACTGCTTGGATCCACTGCCTTCTACGGTCCGGGTCCATCGGAAAAGCATGAAAAGATAAATAGGGTTGTTTTCTTGCTCCACAAGAGCAACCTGGAACAGAGCAAAAACTAGCGCGGAGAGATTGAGCCATACTGACGTTGTCTCTGAACGGTAAAGCATAGACACCGGAAGTTGGTTTACTCCACATCCGGTTTAAAACACGGAAGTGTGAAAAAGGTCTATTGAACTCCGTCTCACTACTGCTCATGATGATCACCTCTGAATCGGACTCCTCGGAATCTGTGGTGGCCTCCTGAGCTGTGAAATACCAGATCAGATATGGACAATTATATTAAATCAATGAACCAATCCCAGAGTGCTCCTCCAGGTTGGCAATTAGTCTCGGGTTAACTCACAACAGGTCATGAAATCTTCAACTGTACAAATGTACACTGTGATGCGTTGGTACGCTTTCCCCACTGCCTCCTTGTAGTCTTTTACAGAGAATGGGGTGTTTGTTCCTGGTATATTTACTATCTTTGTACCATCAGGATACACCAGAAAGTGGGGACCAGGAGGTAAGTTTTTGTTGAAGGCCTTCAATTTTTGCAGTGCCGCATTTTGCAATTCTTTGGCATCTGAGCTTGGTTTGAGTGAAAGGGGGAGTGTCATTCCTCTCATAGGACTCAAGACTCCATCTTTCAGTCGCATAAGGCCTACCGAAATCTACAGAGAAACAACAGAAGAAGGCTTCTGTAAAGCAGCCCACTGACTTACAACATTTATATTACACACTACGAATACATGGCAAGGTTGACGACCAAACAAGCTCATTAACGTACAAACACAAATTGAAGTTACCTTCACAAGGTTTTCTTTCAGCGGTTCTTTTTTCTTTTTGAAACTTAATTGCCTCTCCTTCTCTTTTGATATCCTGAAATTCCGGAACGACTCCAGTGCACCCTCTTCTTTTATGCCTCCTGCATCAAACAGAGGCAATCAACTCTTATTAAAGCGACTTTAAGAATAAATAAGAAATCTGAGACAGTTACAATATAGAACACATATGTCTCAAGTTACATATAGCAAAATTGTAACATTACCCTGACTTGTGCTTGGTTTTTGGACATCACGCAGGAATGTTATATTCTTTCCACACGAACTACAGAATGTCGTTTCGGGGTTTATTCCCGAACCGCAAAAAGGACAATACATTGTAATCTGTAAAGTGGGACACTGATCATGTCACGAAGGTCCAACGGACGTTTCTGCATTAAACTTTGTAACATTAGCGCACTGCCCAAGTCATGGATGGCAAGTTACAGCGTTACAAGTTGAACCTAACAATAGTGATTATTTATGCCAGTTAGAAAGTGACATCGACCATGGTTACAAAGCAATATCTTACTATAACTTACTTTTCCAACTTCAAATCCTCTTCCACTAGCGTCCATCACATGCCGGTCCGTCGACTATTGCAGTCCTACGGTCACTTCCGTTTTCTCCGGTCACTTCCGTTGTGACTTTCGTTAAGTTGTTGTGTTGTGCTTTCTTTAAGCTGTTGTGTTGTAGCTCAAAGTTGTTGTGTGTTGTGGCGTTTGTATTTGTTTTAGCATTTGCATTTGTTGTGGCATTTGTATTTGTTGTGACCCCTCTCGGCCACCGTAGTTTTCTTATCTTGTTCCCATTATAATCTTTAAAGAATGTTGAATGTTTAACAGGCAACAACATGCTAAAAATATATCTTTAAAAAGCGAAACTTTAAATATACATTAAGTATGACTTGTTTCACTTCATGACATTTCTACAAAAAACATCTAATTTCGTACTTATAGTACTTTTAGTTTGTATGTACTTAAAGTTTATAGGGTATTACATCAACTAAGATAACTGGACTACTTGTCTTGAGGTCTGAGCTTGCTGCGTGAGGATGGACCACTTTAACTTTTTGTTTGAATAAAAAGCTGATCTAAAAATATATGCATGTGAAAACTATTGACAGAACCAAATTGTTTGGTTCTGTTGGATGGATTTGATTTAATAGTTTCACCCATTTTAGTAGGGTTGAATGTTGAATGTTAGGTAACCCAGTTACAATGAGTACTTTATTTTATTAGATCTTATTAGATACAATCGAGTGTTAAATACCTTTTCTACATTTTGTGCGCCAAAAAAACGGAACCATCGTTTCTATACAAAGGGCTGCGGAGCGGGAGGCGTTATTTGGTGACGGACTTCCTCTACTTCCTGTGTCCACACTCGGTGCATGTTTGATGTTAACTGAAGATTTTAAGGTTTTTCTCGTAAATGCAGCGGAGTTTTGTTAATATTTCACCTGCCTGATGTCGACAAGTGCAGACACGCAACATGAACCCATTGTTTAGAAAAGTAAGTTTAATAATGACTTTTTACCAGCGATATTCTGGTCCGCAAAGGTCATTCAGGATCTGCAGTGTTTGACATTTATTATCATACGTTTTGGGAAGCACCTGACATAAAGCTATATCATATAATAATGGATATTTGGAAATGGAAATTGCTTTGTCAATTCAAGTCTATTGATATGGCACATCAATGCTTTACGGTGTTATAACAGTCTATGGTTATAACATGGCTCCATCCATTTAAAGAAGCATTGCGTAAAATACAATGTTGATAGAAAGTAAACAACATTTCAGTCACATACTGAGCACATAAATGTTGGAAGCTGCTTGTTTTGATCAGAAATTGTTTGTTCCTCAAATTGCACGCCTGTTTATTGATCACTTAATATTGATCACTCCATCTTGATAATAATAACAATAACAATATTCCCATTAGGCTCAAGCTGTTTTATCACAATCACTCGTATTGGACCCTGCAGCTTCAATATGTCGGTGAGTTTTACTACATGTTTTCTGATTATAACCGAGGTAGATTAATCAAATGTTTTTATTGTATTCTGCAGGGTCTCGCCACTGTTTCAACTCCCTGTTTGGGGTACGTTTGTTATTACTGACTTTTCTTCATTCTATAGATTAGAACATAGTCGTCTTCTGTCTACTAACGTTTAATAGAGTACCCATTTATTATATATTTTGTATATTTTAGTCTGCTCTGTAAAGCTGTTCTGTCTTCATTACAGCACGTTTGATTTTTAGTCTATAGCGATTGGTCCGAACATTTTGTCAAAGAAAACGATAAACAAATACATTAAATATTTAGTACTGTATTTCCAGGTGTTTGGCAGCAGAGCAGGTCGTACAGGGGAATGCCAACTCACGGAATCGGGAGGTGGAAACATCTCTTGCCCAGAGAAGCTGTGAGTTAATACTCCTGTGGTTTGGAATACAGTCTGTTTTGTTTCGGAAAATCATCTGCTCTTCAAACCTACTGTAGTTTGGCCAGATTACATTGAAAAGCAGACTTTGTTTAGACATTTGTGTTTGTGTGTGTGTGACCATATGCATACAGAATATACATGTTTTCCTGTTTCATATTCTCTGAATCACATCCATTAATTAATTGAGTACTGACTGTTTAGTTCTGTTTTTCCTGACCAATTCCTCGCTGCTGACTTGTTGCCACACTTATAATTAACATGATGGGTTTTAATGTAAGACAATGTGCTGAATTTGATTCCAAATTTGACTCGTTTAGATGTTTTGTCCCCAAACACAAACAGCTGAATACCTAAATGGAAGTGTGTGTGTGTGTTAGATATTTATGGTTATTAATGATTTTAGTAAGTAAGCAAGTTTTTGTTTTATTACAGACATGTTTGTTATTATGGAAATGTGTTAACAGGATGAATGTGTGTTTGTGAGTAGGACAACGGGTGCAAATTAGGTGTGCATTAACACGTACTATTCCAACTAAACAATAAATAATTAAATAAAAATACACTATTGAGCAGTGCTGTTGCTCCAAAAGATCATGAGGTTGAATGATCCTTTACTAATATTGAGAGACATATTTTTTACTAAAACCTTGATATGTTCAGCCTAAGAAGAAAAAGGACAAAGTGCAGATGAAGCAGATCGTCACGGCAACACCGACATCCTTCGGGACGCTGAACCTGTGTGTGTCTGGATACGACATGACGGTGGTGGAACATTTCTCTCAGTACATCCACAACCTGTGCAACCGGCTTCACGTCGACGTCTCCGAGAGGTGAGGAAATACACTTCAGGTTTGACGTCCTTAAGTTCCTACCGCGATCCAACTTAGTTCTTTCATCAAACAGAATAATAAAACTTGTGCCGTTCTTTCAGTTCCTCGTTAAACTCGTAAATGGAACGCTGGTTCAGATTTATGACGTCAAATGTGCTCTGCCACTGAGCTGATAGAAAAACAACAAAAGACTCATTTGTTCAAACTACCTTCTTCTCTAGACTTTTTTTGCGATGTGTCTCTAGTTTGTTTGCTTTTCTGAACTAAAGTTTAAAGCGGACATATTCTTAATTATAAATAAAATAATCACTTATTTTTGTTGTACATAGTGAGCACTTTTTATTGTGTGCTTGAAATAAAACCAAACTAACATGTCTATAATATTTGTTTACGCATAATGAGCTTCTCATGTGGGTTGCCAGTTTGTTTGGCGAAACTCAGATGAAAAAATTATGTATTCAAACGTAACGCACAGTTTGTACCGTTTCTGCTGTTTTGCTGAACCCCAATCAGGTGGTTTGCATCAGTAAGTAAGTAATCTTTATTTATTTACCACCTTTCACAGACCAGACTCACAAAGCGGCTTACGGTGATCAGTGCATAGCTGCTACGTGTGTCACAGAACGGAAGATTCTGGCAACAAAAGTGTAATGGGTTTTATTAGACCACTAAGAGTGCAGATGACGTACTGTCCCTTTAACTGTCTTGTGATTAGTCTTTGTTCTACATTCAGTTGTAAAGGCCTAATTTTCCCTTAACATTAGTTATTTATGGAAGAATAAGCACAAACACATCCCCCCAGCCCTTCTGTCGTTTCTGTTGCGATGCTTGCATGTTTTTTTTTATTCTTGTCAATCTGGTATTTAAAAAGTGTAATTACACAATGGTAAAAATATTTACTCAAACTATAATCCATAAGCTGGTACAGTATATGTGAGGTGCTTTGTGACTTTTGTCTATGAAAGGTTCTATATAAACGAGGATGACTCAGGTGACATGTTTGTAAATGGGATTCTGCTGGTTGTATTTCCAGTTACGCGCTGCCGACAAAAACCACGGAGGTTTTCCTGATGCAGGACCAGGGCACGAAGATGCTCGTGGACGCGGTTTTAAAGACGCATGAGCGAGTCGTGCAGGTAAAGGAAATAAATGACTACCTTTTGCTTGTGCCTGAACATTCATTCTTTCTCTCTGGGTTTCTCATTGAATTTTAACTTTGCCGTAGCAGAGAAGCGAATGTGTAAATGGAAAACGGGGTGGGGTCTTTAAATAAGTTCTCTTCTTCAGTCTTGCTTTCAGGCAACTTTGATGTTGATGTGAAAACAAAAAAAACATGATCGCAGTGTATTTGGCAATTATATTAAAAACGTTTTGTTTCGCAGGTGAGCAGTTTAAACGCTGTTGTGTGTCCAGTTTTTCTCGACGTTCTTCTTAAAAACCAGCCGGAGGGAGTTCATCTCACCGTCAAAGAGGTGAGAGCCTGAATAAACTTAACGGATTAAGTTTTCGATGTGTCATACATCCATCACAACAAAGTGCTGACATAGCAGATCACTGTAAATGCTTCAAGGTTATCTATAATGACTTAAATTGGCAGACGTTTTACTTATTTTACCTATATTACATTTACCCAAAGAAAAACACCTTCTCCACCGACTCCCACTGATGACTGCTGTCGTTGTGTCCTTGGGCAAGACACTTACCTCACTTTGCCCAAAGCCCCCACTGAAAGATCAAGGCTATGCTCACACTCAGAGAGCAGCCGTCCTCCTGTGGACTCACCACCTGCAGAGGGTCAGTGAGGGGCTGGTGCTATGAGACTTGGGTGGCATCTCTGACTGCCACCCCCCTGACCCAGAAATGGATTAAAGGGTAGAAAATGGATGGATGGAAGGATGGACATTTACCCAAAGAAAAATGTATTGAGTCCTTTTAAAGATGTTTACTTCAGCCAATAAAGTTTTTAGAATGGGGTAAAAAGAGTTAATAATTTTTTGGTAAATGTATGCTTGTCTTTTGTAAAATGTCAAATTCAAATAATAAATCCATCCATGTATAATAATAAAAATAAATTTAAAATAAAAAGAATAGAGTAGATTCTGTATTTACCTTTTTAAATCCATCTGAATAAAGACTTGTATTAAAACAGGAATATTTATACCTTGCACTATATTTAACAGCAGTTTGTTGTCGTTGCAGCACACGGAGGCGGACTTCCAGGCACGGTTCAAATCCCGCCCGGAGCTCGAGGGGCTGATGGCTCAGATGCGGCACTGATCCAAACCCACACTCTGTCTGTAAATACTGTAAATGTGTCACTGAAGAAAATAAACCTTTGTCCAGATAAAGTTCACCAGAACAGTATTCATTTGGAGTAATAAAGTTTCCCAAAATGTTCCAGTCACAGCTGAAAGCGAGTGTCTGACGATGAAGATATGATTCCATAACTTGTTGGCCATTTTGTGGACATTTAAGCGGAAGGCGTTCAAATAAAGTATATTGAGATTTACCTTCATAAAGTTTGTGTGGATCCCTGCATTTCAACATTAAACAAACATTTACTTTAATTTAACCAGGGGGACATTGTGATTAAATAAAGGGAAATATACCTTTATTTAATATAATTGAAATTCATAATTACAAGAGTCGTCATGGTTACATAAGATAATTCTACCAATATCACACTGATACTCTGCATTCTTCTATAAAATGAAAATAATCACACAGTTTTGGTTAGCAAATATATTTTAATATATAATATTTATATTCATTTTTAGCACAATGACAAAATGGCAAAGTCTCTTCTAAATCATGACAAAAGGCCACGGCTGTTGGAGCAGAGTGAGATGCAACATTTCACTGTCATGTCCTTCACAGAAACACAAATACATCAAACTGGTTAAGTCACATGAGAGAAGGACTCAAGCAGTTAACATCCTCGAAATTAAAATCAACAAAATAATGAAACAATTTGCTTCTTACTAACAGACTTCACATATGCATTCAATTAAACTTCTCCATTCACTGACCATTCCAATAGCTTTGAGTAATAATACTTCATCTGAAAGTAAAGGTGCTCTCTGTAACATAATATTACACTGTTTTGATCTGTGTCTTTTTGTTGTCAATAAAAACAAAAGGTCTACTTTCCTTAAAAATGATATACCTGAAACTAATCACAAGTATTTGTTAAAAGACTTAAAGCAATACAGTGGAACATTCCAGGCAAAACACTGACAAGGGACCTGTAAATACCTTATGGATGTTCAGTTTAAAATTACTTTTCAAATCAAGTATTAAATATTTTCTAGTTTATATTTGTGTCAGTAGTTGATTCATCAGTACCAGACTTATCACCAGAAATGTTACACTGCACAAAACTAAATCTCCTTTGTAAATCTTCAACTGGTTGGTTAGTTAATAAAATGTATAACCTAAAAACAAACTCTCCAGCATTCCTTCAGTGCAAATTCCTCCACTTACAACCCGTCCTTCATTCTCCTTCTGCTTGAAACAAATTAAAACAATAACTCAATGTAAAAGACTATTCTGATAAAATATGTGAATAATTATAGATATAGTAAACATTTGATGGTAAATTAACGAGGACACACTTTAACTAGCTGCATTTAGCTTAAGATGCTAGTTTCGGCATTAACAAGTGTTCTTTGCATAGGCTAAATCAAATGGCACATTATTTCAAATGAATTATATTGTGTTAGTCTATCAATATAATCAATTCACATATTGTATCAATGCATTTGTTTTATGTAATCAGTAATGAATTATGCACATTTTAACATGGATAAAATATGGGAAAATTCAGTAACATTAAGGAAGGACTTTCTGGCTTTCTATCCATTATGATTATGTTTGAACACTTTTGTCATGATTTTGAAACTATTTTTCTGTACGAACGATGACCACACACCACGTCTGAGCCAAAACACAACAGTTAAATAAGTAAATACAATGAAATGATTTTTTTTTTGATCATCCAAAGCGTTAAACAGCTACATGTAACGATAACTGTAAAAACGCGTACTAACACAACATGACGAAAGCAAACGTTTCTTCGGTTAGTCTCCAAATAGTAAAAACTCAACAGGAAAAACAATATATAGAGGCATTAAATAAATTAATTCAAAAAACAAACACACTGGTAAATACTCAATACATATTTACAGCTCAGTGAAATTAAAAGTCTACGAGAGAAATTAACGCGTTGACAATTAGCAACATGCTAACTTGAACAGAACTTTTCTACTACTTTTACTTTTCGTTTTTGGTAGTTATTGATCATTTTATAGAATGAATATGTTTCGCAGCATTTACTGAGTTGATATGTACTTGAAATTCCAAATTAGGACATCATCTATGGCTGATATGTCACGTTAGCTTGGCGGCTCTTAGCAGGAAATGGTTGGTAATGTTTGGTTGAATTAGCCAAAAGGTCGTCCTGTCTTGAACGCTATGGATCTCAAATCAGATCGTAACTTCCTATGGTCTTCCTATGAACTGAAAAGTCACTTGTGTTCCAGCCACAGGCCATAGGTTCAAACCGCTCCACTGGGTCACGGCAATAACGGCGATTTCCAGGTGTGAATATGTTTAATATTATATGTTTTGGCTGTCTTTCTTTACAGCGCAAACACAAAGAATGCTTGGTCCCTTTTTAAAGTCTGTACTCCTTCACCTGGCTGATCCTTGATGATTGTAGCAGTGAAATGGCCTTTGATATAAACGCGATCATGTGGTTCTCAGAAAAACATTTACAGTTTACATATACGTACGTTTGCTCGCACAGATCAGTAGCTACTCATCTGCCGAGTGAAGACAAGAAGTACGCTGAATGACATCGCACTGGGCTCCACTGTGAAGCCCACCAAGGTTAGAGTTTAGATATATGATCTGCTGTCTATTGTTATTCTTGAAGACAGTATAAAAAGTAAAGTTAGACCAGAATGGTGAGTCAGACAGCAGAAGTTACAAAGAAAGATGAGTGTTTTAAAAATGTCATATAACGCTTTTAAAATTTTGCTTTTTGGAAGATTGCATGTTAGCTTGGATTAGACATGTCCAAAGTCCTGCCCTCTGTGTAAGTAAGTAAGTAAGTTAGTAAGTTTTTTATTTATATACCGCCTTTTCACTGCAGATCTGAGTCTCAAAGCGGTTTACAATTGTTATTATTTGGGCATTTGTCTCTCACTCCACACAGAGATGGGAGCGGGGCCAGTACAGGAGGCGCATGCCAGAACTATTGGACATATTTTTAGTGGTAGGGGAAACCGGAGTACCCGGAGGAAACCTACGCAGACACGGGGAGAACATGCAAACTCCACTCAGAAAGGCCCTGGTCCGACCGGGATTCGAACCCAGGACCTTCTTGCTGAGAGGCGAGAGTGCTATCCACTCAACCACCGTGCCGCCCACCCGCCTCTGTGTCATTTTATGGGCCCTCCGTTTGCTAAAGAAGCCATTGAGATCATAAACAAGTTCACAGTATCATTCATCCAACTTAAGCTGGTTTGCCTCTATACCAACATGTCTTTTAGATCGAGGCAGCCTGACTCTAGTCAAATGAGTTCGACAATCGGTTGAATCCATGTGATTGGCCCCTGGACCGAAACCCAACTTTTCTAAACCCAAGCTAAGCATCTGAGGACCACAAGAACGCAATTTCTTTTTAAAGGACAACTCACCCTCAAATCCACTTTTTTTTGCTGATAAACAGTATAAATGAGTGTCCAATAGTGTTGTCTACATATCCTGGTCATAATCTTGTCACTTTGGTGCAAATTAGTTGAAAGTTAGACTTTCTGCCTAAAACCGTCTGTGAGGCGCCATCTGCTGGCGACCTGTATTACTACATTTGAATTTTGAATCTGGCGCCAACACTGGCGCAGAAGTTGGACCTGACGTCTGCAAGTTGGACCTGACGTCAGCAGCCCCCCGCCCAGAGCAATGTAAACGGCCCAGTCTCGTTCACGGCCCCTTTAGTCCTCCAGGCTACGCCCATTTAGAGGAAGATTTGAACAGGAAATGTGAGTAACGTAAGCTCCGAGGAGCGGGGGTGAGAACCACTTTAACTGTGAAACTAGTTTGAACCTACTGAAAGTATCTGAGATGGAGATGTTGACTGTTACATGAGGTTGCGTCGCTAACAGACCAACCGCAATGGTCAAATGAGTTATTGTTATTTTGCCGCCATCAAAAAAAACCAAAACATTTTAACACATGATCACTTAAGGACAATCGTTCACGTTCGACATAAATGCATAGAATACAAATCATCTCAACAATACAAGACACGTCGAGCAATAGAAAAGAAAAGGTTGCGAATAGTCATTAAAGTCATTGGCACTAGAGGGTTTTCAAACTATAACATAATCATAACAAGGGTACGATTTACAATAATTGTTTCTGCTTCAACCCCGCAACTAAGTAGAGAAATAAATAAACAGTTTGTACACAGCAACACTGAAGTCCTTCGCATCGTTTGGACCGGGACGTGTAATCGGCAAATCATTCACTCACAGTTTTAAGTTGTTTTAGGATTGATCACGCTAAGGTTTGGCTGCAGAAATATAAGAATACACAGTGTTAAAAAGAGCAGTCGTATTAGCGCGTTAGCAACAGTCTTGTAAAGCTAAAGAAGAGTGTGTAGTTATGTTTTGTTAGCATGACATGACTTTTAATATGGCATTTGTTTATTGTAAAAATCAGTTAAAAAGTTGGTATTTATTTTGAGTAGTTTTGACAAGTGAGTAGTTTGTCACATGTGAATATTTTTTAAGTTGATCCAAGGAAAGCGGATTAATTAATCTTGCCAAAAAATATAATCTTTTCCTATTTCAAGCCAAATTACTTTCTAAATAATTTAGCGTTTTATAAATATAACAACATTATAATGGATTGGAAATGGCAATGCTAACAATACCATTTGTCTAAGATTTTGACTCAAGTAGAAATGTGTTTTTGCAGTGTTCTTCTATTTTAAACTGTCTGTCATCTCTATTATAGAAACATGAAAAGTTTCCGTTAAATACCTTTAAACACATTTCCCAGTGAATTAATCAAATAAACCTGCTCCATATATTACTTATTTTCTCCTACATTAACCGTGTTTAGTTCAAGTCGCCTTCTTCAGCCAAAAAACGATCGCTTAATTGCAAAGAAATATAATTTTGCTGAAATAAATAATTTGATAAAAAATGATTTCTGTCTCTGGGTAGTTTAATTAATCTCACATTTCATTATTTTGCTTTTGAAATGTTGAAGGAATGTTTTCAGAAAGATTCAGTAAAGTGACTTCGTTATTGGTGGTTCCATTTTCTCAGTAAATTCCCTTTCTCTGCGCACTTTTTTAAAATCTAATCTAATGTGTGTATTTTTGTTTCATGTATGTTAATAGTCATCCATATTGTCGCAAAAAATACTGAATTAGAACTAAAAAAATATATAACAACAAAATAGAGGTTAAAAATGGTTTGAAGATGTATAAAAATGTGAATAGATTTTTTTTTTTTTTTTTTAAGGGAGAGGTATATAACAGTCTTCTGCAATGAATATTAGTTTTAAGGCTTCATAATACGTACAACATATTCGCCAAATTATTTCATCATTCTTTTTAGTTTTTATTCTTCAAATTGCAACTTGAATCTCCAGGACAGGGATCATGATCGGTATCAATATGTGTCAGAAAAAAAACAGCTCATCCCTCTTCGTATATATTTTAGTCTTTTTCAAGGAATGTTTTCAAGGATTTCTTTAAGGGGCAATGTTATCACAGCACAACGCAAAAGGTTAAACGAAATAATTTTTTTAAAGTAATAAATATGCAATTATGTTGAAATTTGGGATATAACTCATTCTGCACTCAAAAACCACACACAGCTGAAACTATCGTCATTGGTCCATTCATACAATCCCGTCTCGAAAAGGATGACGTCACTTTGCTACGATCCGATTGGCTGCGAGCGTTTAGTGCAGGAAATGGATGGTTGATTACTTTTTTGAGGGCTGCAGTTTGGCGGCTGATTGGTCGCGGGAGTGTAGAGAAGTGTAGAAATATCAAGGTGCAAAGATTCAGGGGGAAAGGGGCAGAGAGCGTTCAGACTTTTTTAGGCGGTGGAGCCAGTTTGATGATCTCGTCTTCAGAGGGCTGGCGGATGATGTCTGCAAAAAACAAGATTACTTTGTTTTATTTTTGTTCTGCTATAATACATTTGGTTCAGAGGATTACTGAGGTGACTTTCACTTTGCCACTGCAGGTCCCCAAAGAAACTAAAACCCCCAAAAGACCTGGCACAGATTCTAGTCACATGATGTCTGATTATCTGTTAAAGCGACAGTGCACAACTTTTTAAAGGTGGTAATGACTCGCGCTATTCCATGGAACGTAGTCTGGAACATTCTACAGGTTTAATTTCAATGGAAACAAAAGGAAGAGATGGAGCTTGTGCACAGCCAGGACTCATGTTTTCTACTATTGTCCGAGCCATGGAAATGACCACATCAAAGATAAACATTTATGTCTATTTTTTGAATAAAATAAAATAAAATAATTAAACTTTTGTCACTTTTGTCGTAGCTACTTCAAGTGCACATAGTGAAGAATAAAGGCGTCTTCATTGGATACTCGGTCAACAGAAATTTACAAAAAATTAGCTTCAACATTTTGTCCAATACTATTTTTTATCAAATACATGTGAGCGGATCAAAGAAAGGATTATTTCAAAATGTTGAGAAGGCAAACTTTGTCTAGCGTTATGTAGTCATTTCAGTTAAATTCTTTCTCAAAAACTGAAATACTTTTTTAATCATACTTTTGCTTTACCTTTCCAAAAAAATATAAACTGCCATCGGCCAATTTCTGAGCTTTTCTGAGCACTTTGTAAAATTCCACCGATCCCTTTTCACTCACAGACAAACAAACCCTGGTGATAACATTCAGCCCAGCGGAGGCAAAAACACATCACAGAAGGTTATCAATGAGACAAACGGGAAAATACTATAACGCCATTGTTTCTTTCAACGTGTGTGTAATTATGGTCACATCCCAAACCCCCGATGAGATTGTGTGCTCACTGGGAGTGTTATGTACCTTTGTATTTCTTGGCGGAGGGAATGCGTGTGAGTTTGGTGTCTATTTCCTCATCCTCAGATATTTTCAGGACGGTGGTTCGATACTCGATGACTCTGGTGAGGAGGTCGGGCCGTCGCGATATCTCGAAGATGTGCTCAATGTACAAAAGATTGTCTGGAACAAGCCAACAACAATATGAACACAGTGGTACAGTTTTGATCTGTAACTTTTATTTTGATAATCAGATTTTTTGAGAGAGCAATGTGATTTTATCTCAATTTGACCCATTTTCAGCTCAAGTGAAGCCACCAGTGGACATTTTATCAGATTGTTCCACCCATTTTATCATCAAAACAAGACCTTAACACAATTCCTAATAAAGATTATGTAATTACCGCTCTGTTTGAGTTTTGAAATTCACAATTCACAACACATGTCTGTAAATAGAGGACATTTATGGACCCTGGTCATCTCGCTCACTATGGACCAATGTCTCCTATGTGTTTTGTTATTATTGCATTTCCTGTGTTTGAACTTTCAGATTCTCAGATCCGCTGTTGGTGAATAGACACATTTGTAAAATCCTCCGAGACGACTGCTGTTGGGATTTAGGGCTGTACAAAAAATAAATTAAATTGAATTGAATATAGAGGAGCTAATAAGCTAGTTGTTGATTAGTGAAAAAAACTTGATTAGTTGTGATTAATTTATTTAAAGGTTACAGCACTGGCACAGTTGCAGCTATAGAGCAGCATAACCAGAGGGGGGCAGCGATGAGCTACAATCAGGTCTGTGTTTTATTAAATGCCAGAAAAATGCAAACAGACTGGCTCCAATAATATACTTTTCTAAACTCTTTCCTTGTGCATATGCATCACACATTAAATACTGCATTACCCTGTATAAAAAATAATCATTATAAAGCTAATATATGTTAGCTAATCTTTTGCATCTGTGTTACTTTGTATTTACCTTTGGAGGTATTTTGACAAGTTCACAGTATGATCCAGCCAACTACAGCTCTGCCAACATAGTCACATTATACCTCATTGTTAAGCTTAGGATTCAGCCGTCGCCTTTGTTTGACTATACTGACATTTGTTTTTGATCGTATGGCACTAATGTATCTGGTTTGTCATTCAGCCAACTTCAGCTCCGTCAAATTTGAACCAATATAGAAAAGTCATACCTGATTTTAAAGCTCAGAACAGCCCGGATCAAGTCAATCCAAGTGTCAGCCCCTAGACAATTTTGGTGAAATAAAGTGGCCCTTTTACTCAAAAGTTTGGACACCCCTGGTTTGGATATTCTTTTCTGTCGTTTTTTCGTGAACAAAATTAATTATGTGTGTATTGAAACAGAACTGGACCCAAACAAAAATTTCTGCAGACTGATTTACTGATTATTCCTATTGATGAATTATTAATAAAATCGATAACTAAAAGTCTCGGTCTTGCGCACCACGTTCTCTCCGATAAAACACTTGAATGCAACGTGTGTGTGTGGCCATACCTTGTGCGAGCTTGTCGTGCTTCTCCAGGTAGCTGAACCACTCTTTGGAGCAGGTGATGTTGTTGCTCTGCTCCTCGGGGATGTCCTCCTTACACGCAGACTTCAGCTGCTCCAGGTCCTCATTTGTGATGTTCTCTGAGAGGTCAGCGAGCAGAGAGCTGTACTCCGCCATCGTCTGGACACAAGAGGAACTGCAGTTAGTCGCAAGTCGCCTTTTTGGAGAATTCGCTAAAAGTCAAAGTCAAACCCCTGAGATATTGGACTCAACTAAAGCCTTTAAAGTTTTATCAGATTTTTTTGTATACTTTATTGTGACATATTCATTAGTTCGCACTTTTATCATAATACATACAGCAAAACGAGACACATTTTAATTTCTGTGTTCCTTCTTTCTGTTTACAACAATAAACAACATGAAAGTACATTTATAGAATACTTAGAATACTTTATGAAAAATGTTGATGTCATACTGATAAATAGACAGAATGGGATGTTGGTTTATTCAGTCGTCCTTTATCAGAAATTTGATGAGTAACAGAAAAAGGCGGAGTCATGAAACTAAAATTAATGAAAGAGATGATGTGAGGGTGGTCTTCTCGTGTTCGATTTTCTTCAGAAAAAGTTGATCTGAAGATGTCACAGGTGCCAAAAATACATGCAAGTGAAAACTACAGTGATAGAATCTAACTGTTTTGAGAGATAAGATTGATTTTTATCACTGAGATAATTATTGTGGTTTGAAAGTTAGATACCCGACCTTTAAAGTGCTGCCATGTATTTCCTTTTCAATAAATTCATCTAAGATATCAGCAGCAGCAATCTTGCCCTTCACAGGAGAGCATTCAAACAAGGCTCGCCTCTTTTACACAAACTGTTCTTTTAATCTGCTGCACATTCCTCCCACAGCATCTGGCAACCGGCGGAGCGGTGCATGCTGGGAACCTGGCACACTTTGGTCTCGTCTGCCGAACGCTTTGGTCGTGTGGCGGATCATCGCAGAAATGGGGAAAAAAAATCCCACACCATATAGAAGAGGATCGAGAGAGCTGTGTGTGACCTAAATCTGCCAGGGTGCAGTGACAAGGAGCGACCACCAGGGCGAGTCTTGTGTCTTAGTGAAGATGTAGTGAAGCTTTGTTATGTATTTGGCCTATTTTTGGAGGACTGAGGGGGTGGAAATTCATAACTTCTCCCTGATGCAGAAATAGTGAAGGTATACATTTAAGTCGAGTTTTTTCATTTTATACTCCAGATTTCAAGCAAACATCTTGACAACAAACAATAACAGATGGCCATAATTTATTCTCAAAACAAATCTCCCCTTGCTTTCAGATCTCCACACACAATAGTCTACTTTACTTGAGCCTCATCTGAATTCACCCTTAAAGCTGGGGTACCTAAGTATTTTGCCTCATAAATAATACATGTTGTTTATGAACGTTCTACAGCCTGAGTCTTGAATCTATAGCCTGTCCGCCGTGGGAGCAGATCCCCCTCTCAATATGAGCCTCCCCGTCGTTTTTCACTGTTTTTAGTCGTTCTTTGTCGATGCAGGAGGGTCCAAGAACAGCGATGATCCGGGATATTTCATATATGGACATTTATCAACATTTATGACCATTTCCTGATCCCTATGGACCAATGGATCCTACGAGTTTCTTGTTATTGCATTTCCTGTGCTCGAAGTATTTGATTCTCAGATCTGATGTTGATGAATCCGCAGCCTTGTAAGTAAGTAAGTAAGTAATCTTTATTTATATACCGCCTTCCACAGACCAGAGTCACAAAGCGGTTTACAATTGTTATTGTAAAGTCCTCTGACAGCTGTTGTGATTTAGGGCGAATAGGGATATCCAAACTATACCTAATTTAATTTACAAAATGTCATAAAATCAGACCACAACGGGCTGTTATTCACAAGGGTTTTATGTTGTGAGCTTGTGAGCCCTGTGAGTCACTATTGGATGCTTTGGGCTGATAGTGATGGCGGTCCTCTCTTATACACTTTTCCCGCCAAATAGTTTTGAGAGTATTAAGACAAATGTATTAGTTATTTTTGATCAAAATAATATGTTATCTCTATTTATATTGTGAAATATGTCTTTATTGCATACTCCTTCTCATATTGTGATGATACTTTTTGGCCATATGCCCCTGCCCTAACACGCAGACAGCATTTCAACACATTAAATACCAAAGCAAATGTATCCAAGGGCCAAAACTTCTGAATATTTGACTGGTGAAAAACTATGATTTCTATTTAGTATGAGAAAGAGACTACATATATTGGATGAAAGACAATAGCCTTGCACTTAAACTCTCTAAGCTCTATTGTTGCTCCATATGTCAGTGCTGTTCCGTGGCTCTCGCTGGCGGCTCTCGCTGGCGGCTCTCCCTGGCGGCTCTCCCTGGCGGCTCTCCCTGGCGGCTGATCTTGGGTCAGATATGAGCTCCTATCGCTGGACTCACACAGTGTTTGTTTTGTGAGTTAAATTGTCTCCACTCCTTCTGTTCCTGACGCTTCTGCTGTGTGTCAGCGTGGGGCCGGCTCACAACAGCTCAATGAGATTTTATTTCTGTTCGGGTCACAGGGTTTTTGTTTCTCGCAGTTCAAATCACACATCAAAACAGACTGATTTCATTTCTCTTCTCCATCTCTTCAAATAAGTCAAATGCGGCTCAAGAAGACGCACAAATAACTTTTCAGTTTTTATACATGGGATATGGTTTCTTCAGCTACTGTACATTTGTACAACTTTCATGTTAAACCATTTGAACTAGCATATGATCGTAACAGTTGATCCTATGAGATCTAACAGTGTTCCTCCTGTTTTAAGCCAAAGTAAAGACTGAGGATAAACAACAAACAATCTTAACAAATATTATGCTAATTTGCGACCCTTTTGACCCTTAAAGTGACAGTTAGTTACTTCTCAAACTGTGAAGATGGAGACATTTTTCGAATGCAAGCATCAGTTTGACCCCGCCCCACACATTTCTGACTGCATGCAGTTTATTATAGGCTTTGATGGAGAGCTGAGGCCCCTCACTATTTGTCAAACTATTCTCCTTCAGAAAATCATCGTTTTAGATATTTATTAAGAATAATACTTATATATAGAAGATACCAAGTCATATGGTTTTCTTTTCAGGCATCACCTTTAAACATGATCTCCATAGCATTTATTTTAGATGGAGAATTTGTAATATTTAATTATCTATAAAGAAGTGAACCCCCATCTTATGGTAGGAAATGATGTTTTGCTTTGATAGTAATAATGTGTAATTGAAGACACGCAGTAGTAAAGAATATCATTTGAATGATGAAATTCACCAAAGATCTTTGAATACAATACTTTTGTTTAAAACAGCCCTGTTCATGACTTTATTGTCTAAAGGCTGTAGCAGGGGGCAACAGTGGCTCAGTTGGTAGAGCATTGGCCTATGAGCCGGAAGGTTGTGGGTTCGAGCCCACCATATGACCTACTTCACGACTCCCACTGATGACTGTTGTTGTTGTGTCCTTGGGCAAGACACTTAACCCCACTTTGCCTGAATCACCCACTGAAAGATCTCAGCTCCTGTGGACTCACCACCTGCAGGAGGATCAGTGAGGGGCTGGTGCTCTGTGGACTGGGTGCAGCTCTGACTGCCACCCCCCCGACCCAGAAATGGATCAAGGGGAAGAAAATGGATGGATGGATGGATGGCTGCAGCATAAATTATTGAATTTCTGCGTCTTTATCGCAGTCGGTGGAGGATTCGGTTTTCACTCATGCTTTGTAAACTCACTCAGTGAGGTCGTGTAACGGTGAAAAAAATGAAATAAATTCCATGTATGCTCCGTGCTGGGTTTCTCTGAGCTTTTATGTTTGTAGTGATACAGACATTGGGCATCAGATCAAGCCTTGATTATGTAAATGCCTGTGTCTGGCCGTATGTGTGTTTGTGTGGTTTTTGATGAATGGTAAAGCGTCTATAGAGAAAGAATGTGTCTCTGCTTTGCACCACAATGGACTCTCCGACGCTTTTGTTTCACGTTCAACAAATGCAAGATCGAACACAAGTGACTGCGTTTTAAAGTCCAAAACACTTCACTCATTTCTGACACTGATGGCAGCTCCAGCTTTTTCAGACATAAAAGCAAATATAATACAATCAACCAGCTTTCTTAGGAACTGTCATATCAGGATGCCATAAACAAATACTTTGATAATCAATTAGTTGGCAAATTATTCTTTCAATTAATCGATTAGTTGTTCAGATCCTGAACACTCAGTGAATATGTTTTTTTGTAATACATTTGACCAAAACAAAGCTCACGTGATTGGGATTATGAATACAGAACACATTTTCATTTCATTCCGTAGTCATTATAGAACTATCCGAGTCATAAAACCTCTTCTCAGAATGTTCATGTCTAAATACTGACAATTGATAGATAATAATAACTATTTCAATAATTGATTAGTTGTGATTCATCAATCCACTTGTTACAGCCTGCACTCCAGACATCCTCTCTCAGTGCCCTGCCCAACGGTTTTGTTCCTTCAGCTTGTGGAATATGCAACAAATTTGCCTGAAATGTAGTACACGTAAACACATAACACTTGTTAGTAACTTAGAATCTTTTAGTGACGTATGCGTTTGGTGGTTGTGTTTTACTATTGGTCACGTGAATCAATCAATTCAATTCAATGTGTACTGTATTCTTGTATAGCCCTAAATAACAACAATAGTATCTCAAAGGACATAACAAAACCGTTGAATTCACCAACATAGATCAGAGAATCAAACAGTTCAAACACAAAGAATAGAGAACACATAGGTATTGGTCCATTGGGAGTTGCTGAATGTCCATAAGAGTTTGTGAGATTTCATAACACTTTTGCAACTTTTGTTAAAGTTAAACTCATCAATCTATCAATGTGCAGAAGCCAGTACTTTTCCCTTGTTTTGTCTATCTGAAGGCCAAGCTACAAGCACACCGTGGCAGCTGCTGATTGGAGGTCTCCATGCCTCTGCTCTGTATAATACACTTGCATTCTGTTGTATCTGTTGATCGTGCTGTCTCTACCATCGACAATAAAACATGTCTTCTGTCTGAATGAAAGACGCGATCCCAGACTATGTCATCTTCTTCAGGTGGTGGAAGGATGCGGGCCTTGTCTG